AGGGTTAATGTCGAGGGTAGAGGTTAGTGTGAGGGTTAATGTCGAGGGTAGAGGTTAGTGTGAGGGTTAATGTCGAGGGTAGAGGTTAGTGTGAGGGTTAATGTCGAGGGTAGAGGTTAGTGTGAGGGTTAATGTCGAGGGTAGAGGTTAGTGTGAGGGGGGTTAAAGACATTGTAGACCACTACCCTCGGCATTAACCCTTCACATTAACACTACCCTCGGCATTAACCCTTCACATTAACACTACCCTCTGCATTAACCACTACCCTCGGCATTAACCCTTTACATTAACACTACCCTCGGCATTAACCCTTCACATTAACACTACCCTCGGCATTAACCACTACTCTTGGCATTAACCCCTTTACATTAACACTACCTCGGCATTAACCACTACCCTCGGCATTAACCCTTCACATTAACACTACCCTCTGCATTAACCACTACCCTCGGCATTAACCCTTTACATTAACACTACCCTCGGCATTAACCCTTCACATTAACACTACCCTCGGCATTAACCACTACTCTGGCATTAACCCTTTACATTAACACTACCTCGGCATTAACCACTACCCTCGGCATTAACCCTTTACATTAACACTACCCTCGGCATTAACCCTTCACATTAACCACTACTCTTGGCATTAACCCTTTACATTAACACTACCCTCGGCATTAACCCTTTACATTAACACTACCCTCGGCATTAACCCTTCACATTAACACTACCCTCGGCATTAACCACTACTCTTGGCATTAACCCTTTACATTAACACTACCCTCGGCATTAACCACTACCCTCGGCATTAACCCTTTACATTAACACTACCCTCGGCATTAACCCTTCACATTAACCACTACTCTTGGCATTAACCCTTTACATTAACACTACCCTCGGCATTAACCCTTCACATTAACCACTACCCTCGGCATTAACCCTTCACATTAACCACTACCCTCGGCATTAACCACTATTGGCATTAACCCTTTACATTAACACTACCCTCGGCATTAACCACTACTCTTGGCATTAACCCTTTACATTAACACTACCCTCGGCATTAACCCTTCACATTAACCACTACCCTCGGCATTAACCCTTCACATTAACCACTACCCTCGGCATTAACCACTATTGGCATTAACCCTTTACATTAACACTACCCTCGGCATTAACCACTACTCTTGGCATTAACCCTTTACATTAACACTACCCTCGGCATTAACCCTTCACATTAACCACTACCCTCGGCATTAACCACTACTCTTGGCATTAACCCTTTACATTAACACTACCCTCGGCATTAACCCTTCACATTAACCACTACCCTCGGCATTAACCACTACTCTTGGCATTAACCACTACCCTCGGCATTAACCACTACTCTTGGCATTAACCACTACCCTCGGCATTAACCACTACTCTTGGCATTAACCACTACCCTCGGCATTAACCACTTCTCTTGGCATTAACCCTTTACATTAACACTACCCTCGGCATTAACCCTTCACATTAACCACTACCCTCGGCATTAAACCCTTCACATTAACCACTAACCTCGGCATTAACCCTTTACATTAACACTACCTCGGCATTAACCCTTCACATTAACCACTACCCTCGGCATTAACCACTACCCTCGGCATTAACCCTTCACATTAACCACTACCCTCGGCATTAACCCTTCACATTAACCACTAACCTCGGCATTAACCCTTTACATTAACACTACCCTCGGCATTAACCCTTCACATTAACCACTACCCTCGGCATTAACCACTACCCTCGGCATTAACCCTTCACATTAACCACTACCCTCGGCATTAACCCTTTACATTAACACTACCCTCGGCATTAACCCTTCACATTAACACTACCCTCGGCATTAACCACTACCCTCGGCATTAACCCTTTACATTAACACTACCCTCGGCATTAACCACTACTCTTGGCATTAACCCTTTACATTAACACTACCCTCGGCATTAACCACTACTCTTGGCATTAACCCTTCACATTAACCACTACCCTCGGCATTAACCCTTCACATTAACCACTACCCTCGGCATTAACCACTACTCTTGGCATTAACCCTTTACATTAACACTACCCTCGGCATTAACCCTTCACATTAACCACTACCCTTGGCATTAACCACTACCCTCGGCAAGGGTAGTGGATAATGTGAAGGGATAATGTCGCGGGTAGTGGTTAATGTGAAGGGTTAATGTCGAAGGGTAGTGGTTAATGCCGATAGTAGCCTATGTGAAGGGTTACTGCAGGGTCCACCCCCACCTCCCCTCCCCCCCCACTCCCCCCCCCCCCTCCCTCCCACCATTAAGTTAAGGCAACATTGCCCTAAACATCAGCTTAGTTTACCACAAGTTACTCAACTTTACTCCTTCAACTTAGTCTTTTTATTATTATTAACTTTGACCCAAGTTCAGTAACTTCTTAAACAGATGAAGGTCAAAGTTTTTAGTCAGTGTCAAAGTTTTCTCTTATTATTAGTTATTATTAAATTTACTTTTATTATTCCTCATCGTACTATCATTGTAAAGTGTACTATAGTCACAGTAAATAGTACTATTAATGTTGTAAAGTGTACTATAGTCACCGTAAATAGTACTATTAATGTTGTAAAGTGTACTATTATTACTGTAAATTGTAACACTGTAAATGTGACTATGATAATTGTATATTGTAAATTCTTGTAATACTGTCAGTAGAGGTAGAATATTAGGAGTTAGTAGAGAAAGTAGTTACGACTAGCCAGCCACCTGGTCACACACCTGGCCACCCACCTGGCGACCCACCTGGCGACCCACCTGGCCACCCACCTGGCCAAACACCTGGCCACACACCTGGCCACACACACCTGGCCACACACACCTGGCCACACACCTGGTTACCACCTGGCCACACACCTGGCCACCCACCTGGCCACCCACCTGGCCACCCACCTGGCCACCCACCTGGTCACCCACCTGGTCACCCACCTGGCCACACACACCTGGCCACCCACCTGGCCACCCACCTGGCCACCCACCTGGCCACACACCTGGCCACCCACCTGGTCACCCACCTGGCCACACACCTGGCCACACACCTGGTCACCACCCGGCCACACACCTGGCCACACACCTACTCACCAGAACTCTCCATCATTCTTGACCCTGACAGAGAGAAGGACCTTATCCCTCTCTGAGAGGGAGTCCCACTCCCAGGACCTCTCACTCCAGGGGCCACTCCACTCCCCTCTCCCCACGGGTTCCTCAGTCTGCAACACAAACCATCATTCAATACAATAAGTTCAAATATAACAAACTCAATGAGTGATAATGCAAAGGTCTAGATAATATATAACAATGTGCTATATAATACAATCAAATACAGCATAATACAATCAAATCTTGTAGCCTACTCAGACATAATATCAGGATAAAAATCCAAACTTGTATTCACCTAATTGTGCTTGCGGGGGTTGAGCTTTGGCTCTTTGGTCCCGCCTCTCAACTGTCAATCAATTGTGTATTCGTGTAAATGCCTTACATGTCAACGTCTAATGTGATTATACATTGAGATATAAATCTTGTCCCTCACCACTCAGACCTTGACACTCAGAGTGTCAAACACTTGGTGTAAATTCCTTACATCAATTTCACAAATACACAAGTGTGGGTTTTTATCCTATCAAATACAGTATAATACTAGCGAATTATAAGGTCTTCGTGGTCCACACACTATGCAGAATCCTAACAGTTAAACTGGGAGTTGACTTCATCCTAGCTCCGTCCAGGAGGGAGTTGACTTCATCCTAGCTCCGTCCAGGAGGGAGTTGACTTCATCCTAGCTCCATCCAGGAGGGAGTTGACTTCATCCTAGCTCAGTCCAGGAGGGAGTTGACTTCATCCTAGCTCCGTCCAGGAGGGAGTTGACTTCATCCTAGCTCAGTCCAGGAGGGAGTTGACTTTATCCTAGATCAGTCCAGGAGGGAGTTGACTTCATCCTAGCTCAGTCCAGGAGGGAGTTGACTTCATCCTAGCTCAGTCCAGGAGGGAGTTGACTTCATCCTAGCTCCGTCCAGGGGGGAGTTGACTTCATCCTAGCTCAGTCCAGGAGGGAGTTGACTTCATCCTAGCTCCGTCCAGGAGGGAGTTGACTTCATCCTAGCTCCGTCCAGGAGGGAGTTGACTTCATCCTAGCTCCGCCCAGGAGGGAGTTGACTTCATCCTAGCTCAGTCCAGGAGGGAGTTGACTTCATCCTAGCTCAGTCCAGGAGGGAGTTGACTTCATCCTAGCTCAGTCCAGGAGGGAGTTGACTTCATCCTAGCTCAGTCCAGGAGGGAGTTGACTTCATCCTAGCTCAATCCACGAGGGAGTTGACTTCATCCTAGCTCAATCCACGAGGGAGTTGACTTCATCCTAGCTCAGTCCAGGAGGGAGTTGACTTCATCCTAGCTCAGTCCAGTAGGGAGTTAAGTGTTAAGTTAAGGTCATATGCTGTTATGTATATGTATGGTTATAAGTGACCTCTGTGCACTTAAGTAGCGTTGTGGTGTTGGGTCCCAGGAGCTACAGTTGCTTCATCTACACCATGAAAGGACAATAGTTTTGTCTAACGAGACGTACGAACCCAAGCAACCCACCTAACCTAACCCGATGCATATAAAGCGTCACATTTGGTTGGTTTAATGAACACCAATTACCGGACTGGTCGATACGGTTTATAAAGCGAGGTATTAGGTGAGAGGAAGAGTATTAGGTGAGAGGAAGAGTATTAGGTGAGAGGAAGAGTATTAGGTGAGAGGAAGAGTATTAGGTGAGTGGAAGAGTATTAGGTGAGTGGAAGAGTATTAGGTGAGAGGAAGAGTATTAGGTGAGAGGAAGAGTATTAGGTGAGTGGAAGAGTATTAGGTGAGTGGAAGAGTATTAGGTGAGAGGAAGAGTATTAGGTGAGAGGAAGAGTATTAGGTGAGAGGAAGAGTATTAGGTGAGTAGTGAGGCAACCCGTTCTCGCAAATTCGTAAAGTCAATATTGACTTATTAACTACGTGCATAGGTGATATACTAAACATAATAGATACCCCTAAAAAGATTCATAGAAAACACCGACCTTACCTAACCTTGTTAGTATCTTAAGATAAGCATCTTATTGCTTCGTAATTACAATTATTACTTAACCTATACCTATTATAGGTTAGGTAATAATTGTAATTACGAAGCAATAAGATGCTTATCTTAACATACTAAGTAGGTTAGGTAAGGTCGGTGTTTTCTATGAATCTTTTTAAGGGTATCTTATGTTAAATATGTCACCTATGCACATATTTAATAAGTCAATATTGACTTATTAAATTTGCGAGAACGGGTTGAGTGAGGAGACGTACCTGACGAGGGGCGTCTCTCCCAGCTTGCTCCTGACCCTGGCCAGGCCGGTGACGCTGTAGGCGTGGTGAGTCACCAAGCCGTTCCTTAGTCTCAGGTTCCTCTTGGTGTCCTTCTCCTGTACCAGGCCCACGCACGTTCATTAGTTAGGTAATGTGTTAGGACAGGTGTGGAGGACAGGTGGCACCACCAGGCGACACCTCCAGGTGACACCACCAGGTGACACCACCAGGTGACACCACCAGGTGACACCTCCAGGCGACACCACCAGGTGACACCTCCAGGCGACACCACCAGGTGACACCACCAGGTGACACCAGGTGACACCACCAGGTGACACCACCAGGTGACACCACCAGGTGACACCACCAGGCGACACCACCAGGCGACACCACCAGGCGACACCACCAGGTGACACCACCAGGTGGCACCACCAGGTGGCACCACCAGGCGACACCACCAGGTGACACCACCAGGTGACACCACCAGGTGACACCAGGTGACACCTCCAGGCGACACCACCAGGTGACACCACCAGGTGACACCAGGCGACACCACCAGGCGACACCACCAGGTGGCACCACCAGGTGACACCACCAGGTGACACCACCAGGTGACACCTCCAGGCGACACCACCAGGTGACACCACCAGGTGACACCTCCAGGCGACACCACCAGGGGACACCACCAGGTGACACCACCAGGTGACACCAGGCGACACCACCAGGTGACACCAGGCGACACCACCAGGCGACACCACCAGGTGACACCAGGCGACACCACCAGGTGGCACCACCAGGTGACACCACCAGGCGACACCACCAGGCGACACCACCAGGTGGCACCACCAGGTGACACCACCAGGTGACACCACCAGGCGACACCACCAGGCGACACCACCAGGCGACACCACCAGGTGGCACCACCAGGTGACACCACCAGGTGACACCACCAGGTGACACCAGGTGACACCACCAGGTGACACCACCAGGTGACACCACCAGGTGACACCACCAGGCGACACCACCAGGCGACACCACCAGGCGACACCACCAGGTGACACCACCAGGTGGCACCACCAGGTGGCACCACCAGGCGACACCACCAGGTGACACCACCAGGTGACACCACCAGGTGACACCAGGTGACACCTCCAGGCGACACCACCAGGTGACACCACCAGGTGACACCAGGCGACACCACCAGGCGACACCACCAGGTGGCACCACCAGGTGACACCACCAGGTGACACCACCAGGTGACACCTCCAGGCGACACCACCAGGTGACACCACCAGGTGACACCTCCAGGCGACACCACCAGGTGACACCACCAGGTGACACCACCAGGTGACACCAGGCGACACCACCAGGTGACACCAGGCGACACCACCAGGCGACACCACCAGGTGACACCAGGCGACACCACCAGGTGGCACCACCAGGTGACACCACCAGGCGACACCACCAGGCGACACCACCAGGTGGCACCACCAGGTGACACCACCAGGTGACACCACCAGGCGACACCACCAGGTGACACCACCAGGCGACACCACCAGGCGACACCACCAGGTGACACCACCAGGTGACACCACCAGGCGACACCACCAGGTGACACCATCAAAATTGTCCTTTACACCAAATATATAAAATACATATTTTTCCCTTGATACTTGAGCCTTTCATCTTCGCTGGCGGCTAATATTCTGCAGGCACTAGTTAGTCTTATTGAGGCGAAAAAGCTTTATAAAAGCTTAGATGAACAGGTGAGAAGAATAATCATAAAGAAAATGGGGGAATTCAAAAAATTTCTGAACACAAAATTGGAATCAAACCAATGGATACTAATTAGATTAATTTAGATTCAGGAAAGACCTGGGTAAATACTGGTACGCAAACTGGGTTGTTGATCAATGGAACAAATTTCTGGGATTGGACACAGGAGAGTTTGGTTGGATATTAGAGGCAGCTGCCTCCTAGGGTATAGATATTATATGAGAGGAATGAAGTATGTAATTTGAAGTCTACAACAACAACAACATTGGGAACAGAATAATAATAGTTGTTAACCGAAGCATAAAGTAAGGAGAGTGAAGTAAGTTGATGAAGACATACGAGGTTGATGGAGGCGACGAGGAGTGTAGAGCGAGGTACGGCAGAGTTGAGGACCTGGTAGGTGAGGAACTTGTCCTGCATGGTGAGGCTGAAGCTCTGGACGATGCCTCCCGTCAGGTCCTGGAGCGCCCTGGTGGTGAAGCCCTCCTGCAGGCACTCGTAGCTGCCATACAACCTGCCGGAGGGTCTCCTCTTAGTGCTCACCTCAACTGATATTACCTCTCATGTCACTCTCACTCACTCCTCATACTGGCCATAAACTGTCACTCACTCCTCATACTGGCCATAAACTGTCACTCTTACTCCTCATACTGGCCATAAACTATCACTCACTCCTCATACTGGCCAAAACTGTCACTCCTCATACTGGCCATAAACTGTCACTCTTACTCACTCCTCATAGTGGCCATAAACTATCACTCACTCCTCATACTGGCCATAAACTGTCACTCCTCTTACTGGCCATAAACTATCACTCACTCCTCATACTGGCCATAAACTGTCACTCCTCATACTGGCCATAAACTATCACTCACTCCTCATACTGGCCATAAACTGTCACTCACTCCTCATACTGGCCATAAACTGTCACTCACTCCTCATACTGGCTATAAACTGCCACCACGCATACAGTGTCACTCACTTAGCATAGGCCTTCTCAAGAAGGGCGGCCCAGAACTCCGAGGGGTCGGTGGAGTGGAGGTAAACAAGGCGGCCCTTGAAGGTGGGCAACCGGTCGTCAATAACCACCTCCACCCACTCTCCGAAGTGCCAGAACCGGAACCTGTCAGGGTGAGCAAGATGACTAAGGAAGGAGCAGGGGGGGGGGGGACATGAGTAAACAAAGGTGAGTAGAATGGGGAAGCCAGTAGGGTGAGTAAGGTGCCATAGTGTTGGCACTGAGGGCCAGACAAGATGTGAGGGCGCCGCTGTGTATCTGGGCCACGCCGCCGCTCACAGGGAGACGCTGCCAACGCTCAAAAGACAGAATATAAAAATCGAGTGGAAAAAGGGGAGTTGAAGAGGAACGGTGAGGAGGAGAGAGAGAGAGAGGTGAAGATAGGAACGGTGAGGAGGAGAGAGAGAGGTGAAGATAGGAACGGTGAGGAGGACCGTAGGAGCCTGGGTCTCAGGGATGGGGAGTGTAACACCAAAGGAAGAATGAATACCAGAGGTCTCAAATGTGGAGTATGTCACTGCTGTAGGAATCATTAAGCACCTGAGTGTTCACTGACGAAACCTGTACATCTTCCTTCAATTCTAGCACCTTAGTCTGTATTAAACAGTTTACGAGCTGGGAAACTCTACGAGGCCAATCACGACCCAAGGATATTGTCGTTACAGACAACCTCGTAGTGCTTAGGAGCTCGTAAACTGTTTAGTAAATACAAACTATGCAGCCATGATTGAGGAGAGATGTACAGGTTCCGTAAGTGGACATTTAAATGATAAATCCAGGCGTTAGTTGCCATACAAACTCTCATTCAGTAGGTCTAAAATGGTGTACAGTGCCACATTCAATATAAATAATAAATGTAGGGTTCCTGGCCCACTGCACAATCAACTATGTCAATATTTCACTGAATCTGACATAATGGAAGACACCCAAACAGTGAATGGTGACTGTGCCGCCCTGTGGTGGTCACTGTACCGCCCTGTGGTGGTCACTGTACTGTGCCTCTCATCACTCGACCTGTGTGGCTGTGAAAAAAGGAAATTGTAATTAAATTTTTGTGTTAATTTCAATTAAAAAACTACATCATGTAGTAAGCTGTTACCTTCTGACACACACTAGAGACTATTGAGTGATGTTTGATCCTCACTGTCCTGTGTGGCAGTGAAGATGAGCAGCACCCTAACAGAAAGAGAGAGAGAGACATCCTGCCTTAGTTTGCATGCTTTAAATACCAAATAATTAATTAGGGTGGTGTCACCACTAGGAAAAATGTATTTTCCTTCCTACACGTATTTTCACGAGAGAGTGAGAAAGTGAGAAAAGACGCTTTGACGTGTTCCAAGACCATTCAGGAGAAGCTGTGTTGCCTCCGGGAGACTTTGCCTCTCTGGAGGTATTGATTACAGCACGAGAGAGAGAGAGAGAGAGAGAGAGAGAGAGAGAGAGAGAGAGAGAGAGAGAGAGAGAGAGAGAGAGAGAGAGAGAGAGAGAGAGAGAGAGAGAGGCAGAGAGGCAGAGAGAGAGAGAGAGGCAGAGAGAGAGAGAGAGGCAGAGAGAGAGAGAGAGGCAGAGAGAGAGAGGCAGAGGCAGAGAGAGAGAGGCAGAGGCAGAGAGAGAGGCAGAGAGGCAGAGAGAGAGGCAGAGAGAGAGGCAGAGAGAGAGGCAGAGGCAGAGGCATGTGACAGACGTATTGCCTCACAGCTAAACGACAGTGGAAGTTGAGAAGCACTGAAACATCAGTTTGATGTCCTGAGGCATTTGACATACTGATCACTGTTTGACGACATGATTATGGACTGACCTGACCCCTGCTTGACACGACGCGACGACACCACCAACACAGTTACAAATCAGATTAACAACAGATTTAACAACGTAAAAGACGTCGCACAACACTGACCACAACCTTACACCGACACGTCTCCAATGACGACATCAATGAGTCCTAAATACTCATCCACCACTTGAGTAAGACTAAGAGGGACTTAATGTTACTCAGGTGGTGCTCGTTAACCATTAGTGAGCTTCTGGAAGCTTCACGTGCGTGTTCCAGGTTGTCAGAGGCTGGTACGTCATGAAATATATGCACCTCTTGAAAATATATCCGATTGTGGCATTTCTAAACGAAAGGAAGGGAGATTGAGGAGGAAAGCACTAGGCCAGCATGACTATACAGCTATATGAAAAGGATATGAGAGCAGGACAGGAGGCAGGATAGGGTTACTGGGTAAGGGACCCATCACCTTGGACTATAGGGAGGGGGGGGGGATCGAACACCGGCCCTGCGCAAATAGCGAGGCCGTCGCTCAAGAGACCATCCCATGTGGATGGAATGGTCTGTAGTTCCTTCGGGATGGGCTGGAAACAGCAACAAAGTATAGGGTAATGCTGAGAAATAATACTAACTTCTTGTGGGTAGCATAAGACGTAAGGTTGTTGTTGACTAAACCACACACCACAAGATGGATAAACGACGACGTTTCGGTCCATCCTGGACCATTATCGTGTGTGATAATGGTCCAGGACGGACCGAAACGTGATCACATCTTATGGTGTGTGGTTTGGTCAACATGTTCATCACGTTATTGTGACTCATCGTCTGCACGTAAGATCAGCAGAAAGCAATAAATAGAAAGTAATATGCATTTTTTCCTGGAAGTCTTCCATACCTGAAGATGCCGCAGTAGGTGTGGTCGAAGGCCTGGTCCGGGGGCACCACGCGGTCCAGGAACTTGGGAGTGAGGGTGAGGGTGGAGACCGCCTGGACCAGCCAAGTGTCTCCTAGTTCTCCTTGCTCCACGTCGAATCTTGTCGCTCCGTCCGCGATGAACTTTGGTCTGGCGCAGATCTCCTGAGGGGGAGAGAGAGGTTCTTGTTGGTGTGGTTGTGCGGTGGTGAGGGACCTTCGTTAGTGTGTGTAGAGGCGCAGGTGGTAGTGTCTGATGTTTCTGGTAGTGTGTGTTAGTATCGTCCATCACCACAGTGTAGAGAGAGAGAGAGAGAGAGAGAGAGAGAGAGAGAGAGAGAGAGAGAGAGAGAGAGAGAGAGGGAGAGAGAGAGAGGAGAGAGAGAGAGAGAGAGAGAGAGAGAGAGGGAGAGAGAGAGAGAGAGAGAGAGAGAGAGAGAGAGAGAGAGAGAGAGAGGGAGAGAGAGAGAGAGGAGAGAGAGAGAGAGAGAGAGAGAGAGAGAGAGGAGAGAGAGAGAGGGAGAGAGGGAGAGAGGGAGAGAGAGAGAGAGAGAGAGAGAGAGAGAGAGAGAGAGAGGGGGAGAGAGAGAGAGAGAGAGAGAGAGAGAGAGGGAGAGAGGGGGTGAGGAAAGTAACAATATGACCATAGGGCAGCAGTTGTAATGGCAACAATGCATGACCCTCTGTTAGTGGTATAGGGATCTAGAGTAATAATATCCTCATATATAGCAGATATCCTCAGTATGAATCATTAACAACTGTTCGCTACACTTTATTGTAAAGTGAGATGGTAGATTGTGCTGGTGTAGTTGATGTGGTGGTGGTTGGTAGTAGGTGTAGTGGTGGTAGATTGTGGTGGTGGTAGTTATTAGGTGTAGTGGTGGTAGATTGTGGTGGTGGTAGTTATTAGGTGTAGTGGTGGTAGATTGTGCTGGCGTAGTTGTGGTGGTGGTAGTTAGTAATGAAAATATAAAAACAGAAACCACGTACAAAACTCAGGCAAATCATAACATAGAACGAAAAGGCAATGTAAAGGATCTGGGTGTACTCATGTCGGAAGACCTTACCTTTAAAGAACACAATAAAGTAGCCGTCACAACTGCAAGAAAAATGACAGGTTGGATAACAAGAACTTTTCACACTAGAGATGCTATACCGATGATGATACTTTTCAAAACGCTTGTGCTCTCTAGAGTGGAGTACTGCTGCACAATGACAGCCACTTTCAAAGATGGAGAAATTGCTGACCTAGAGAGCGTGCAGAGATCCTTTACTGCTAGAATCCACTCAGTAAAACATCTAAATTACTGGGACCGACTAAAGAGCCTAAAACTGTACTCCCTTGAGCGCAGGCGGGAGAGGTACATAATAATTTACACGTGGAAAATAGTAGAGGGGCTGGTCCCAAACCTGCACACAGAAATAACATCACATGAGACCAGAAGACATGGCAGGATGTGCAGAATACCCCCGTTGAAAAACAGAGGTGCAACAGGTACTCTGAGAGAGAACTCTATCAACATCAGAGGTCCGAGACTGTTCAACACGCTTCCGCTACACATAAGGGACATAACTGGCCGACCCCTCACAGTGTTCAAGAGAGAACTGGATAAGCACCTCCAAAGGATACCTGATCAACCAGGCTGTGACTCATACGTCAGGCTGCGAGCAGCCGCGTCCAACAGCCTGGTTGATCAGTCCGGCAACCAGGAGGCCTGGTCGACGACCGGGCCGCGGGGACGCTAAGCCCCGGAAGCACCTCAAGGTAACCTCAAGGTGGTAGATTGTGCTGATGATGTAGTTGATGTGGTGGTGGTAGGTAGTAGGTGTAGTGGTGGTAGATTGTGGTGGTGGTGTAGTTGGTGTGGTGGTGGTAGGTGGGGTGGCAATTTAAGGTGTGGTGGTGAAAATGGAAGGGTGCAATAGAATTTGTGGTATTTGAGAATAACCCACTCTCCCAAAGCATTGCGAGCGCTTTAACCCGGGTTCGTATCCTGGCCGCCGGGGGAGGATTAACTGGGCGCCAAACCTTAACTGTACGCCTCAATTCACCAAGCAGTGATTGGCTACCTGGTTGTCAAACGGTTAGCGGGTCGTATTTTCTGATATACTATTGGGTAGCGCTTACCATCTATCTTGAGGTTATCTTGAGATGATTTCGGGGCTTTAGTGTCCCCGCGGCCCGGTCCTCGACCAGGCCTCCACCCCCAGGCAGCAGCCCGTGACAGCTAACACCAAGGTACCTATTTTACTGCTAGGTAACAGGGGCATAAGGTGAAAGAAACTCTGCCCATTGTTTCTTGCCGGCGCCCGGGATCGAACCCGTGACCACAGGATCACAAGTCAAGCGTGCTGTCCGCTCGGCCGACTGGCTCACCCATGAGCTGTGGGATGGGAAAGCTCTCAGCCTGTTCCTATACCCGCTTGTGTAAACATACATCATAAATATATATATATATATATATATATATATATATATATATATATATATATATATATATATATATATATAAGTGAGAGTGAGAGTAGAATAAGACTATGATGCAGTACCGATAAGAATATTATTACTCACAGTGGACAGAATTCTCGCTTCTTTAAATACTTATAAATTACACATTAATAAAATATTTGAACGTCTGAATGAAATATTAATTAAAATTACGTATGTTTTCCTTGATTTAATTTTTAAAGTTTCCCGGTCAAGTCGACGCCAATCTCACAGATTTTTCATTATGTTTGAAAATGGTGGGTAATGTTGGAATGATATTTACCAGGAACTCACGAAGACATTAATGCTTTCTAATGAGGTTACTCCTGAAGGCTCATACTTATTCCATGACGCACGCATACACACCCACACGCACAAGTGCGCACGTACACCCCCCCCCCTCGCGCGCACACGTGCGCAAACGCGCAAGCCTTGGTATGGGTCCCAGCACTGATCCTTGACGCACCCCGCTTGTTACCCGTGGCGTAGAGTGCCTCAAGGATTGGTGTTGGAACCCAAAATATTTCTCATTTATGTAAAAGATCTCTACAGGAGCAGAGTCGTATATGCCGGTGGTTGCAGACGATGAAACATTAATGAGGAAAGTTGTACAGGTGAGTGTAAAATTTTCCAAGATGACAAACAAGTTTCTGAGAGAAATGGCTACTGGAGTTCAACACCAGCAAGTGTAAGATGATGGAAAGAAATGTAAACAGATGCCAGGAGACCAAAATGACTCGGGAGGTTCATACAAATAGGATACTTCTAGAACATAAATAAGGAGGGATTTAGATCACTGGACCCTGCAAAGACAAGTGAGTACAGATAGGTGACTACACACATGCACGTGCGCATAGAAGACTCAGACAAGAATATGGGGAATACAGAGCTTGCAGGAATATCATACAAATTGTGACTGAATTATCCCCTCATATTGAGGGGAAAGCAACTAGTTAAAGGAAACTTCATTCACGGGCAAAATAACAGGGAATCAATGGGTCCGAGAGAGGAAAGAGTGACAAGGAGAGTAAAACTAGTAGGAGTTGCTTAAAGGAACATCGTAACACAACATGTTAGAGAGGAAACAAAGACTGATCGACGCCGAGAATGTAAGGAAAGCCACGGGTAAGGACAACATCTCGCCATGCACCTTACTAGAAATGAAGGAAGTATCCAAGAAGGCACCAAGCCGGGAAGGCTATGTAACACCTTCAAATGTGTGGAATAATTAGAGGGCGCTAAAAGTGAAGGAACTACCTACAATTTGGAAATCAGCAAATGTGATAGCTGTATGCATGTAAGGAGGGAGATAGGAGCCAGTAAACTATAGACCGGTATTCTCTAAGTATTCACCAAGTATTAAGTATTCCCTGTAAGATAACATCACTACCACCACACAACCACTACCACCACACAACCACAACCCCCACACAACCACTACCCCACCCAACCACTACCCCCACACAACCACTACCCCCACACAACCACTACCCCCACCCAACCACTACCCCACACAACCACTACCACCACACAACCACTACCCCCACACAACCACTACCCCCACACAACCACTACCCCACCCAACCACTACCACCACCCAACCACTACCACCACCCAACCACTACCACCACCCAACCACTACCACCACACAACCACTACCACCACACAACCACTACCACCACACAACCACTACCACCACCACACAACCACTACCACCACACAACCACTACCACCACACAACCACAACCACCACACAACCACCACCCCACACAACCACTTCCCCACACAACCACCACCCCACCCAACCACCACCCCACCCAACCACCACCCCACACAACCACTACCACCACACAACCACCACCCCACACAACCACTACCACCACACAACCACCACCCCACACAACCACCACCCCACAATCACTGTAATCAATCTTCGTATTAAAGATAATGGTGTCATACCGGACATCCATATTAATATAAAGCCCCGAGCAAAATAGTGAAAAAGATTTAGGATCTTAGGTTATTGCTCTCACGCAGCGAGATAAAGTTTGGTTATGATGGCAATGTTTTCCATGGAAATGCTCTCAACACACCAACATTTTAATATTCAAAAAGATTAAATTTGAAACAGGAACTGTGGGGAAATTTTATTTGAAATTCTCCATTCATAGGCAGAGAGAGTGAGAATGAGAGAGAGAGTGAGAATGAGTGAAAATGAGTGAGAGTGAGTGGGAATGAGTGGGAGTGGGAATGAGTGAGTGAGAATAAGATTGAGTGAGAATGAGTGTGAGAATGAGTGTTTGTGAAAATGAGTGAGAGGGTGTAACTAGTGTCAATAAGGTAGGCGGATACAAGAGAACGATTCACTTTGGTGATGAGTGATAACGAGGGTATATGCTTGGTATGAAATCTGGCTGTAATGACCATAACAACCATAGTTGACCACTTTAAGGTCACCTCTCACTCTCAACAGTAGCGGTTGCAAAACTGTGGACACACGACAGGTTCGTTTGCACACAAGGAATATATAATTTTGAGAATATATCATATAATAGTTTTGGATGGTCAATTGGTGATATTTAGCGCACTCTGATCATTCCGCACATTTGATGGTGCTACATAACCTTCCCGGCTTGGTGCCTTCTTTTGATAATTACTTACTTTGGATGGTCAACTA